TACTGATGTCCCCTCAAATTCCATGGCATTCCAGTTCATCCGTCTCCTCAATTCCTGTGACCTCTAGTTTTGTTTTACATTAGTCACCCATAGGAATTATAATGCTATCAACCTCACCATCACTCATAATTGTGCCACCTCCTTGATTTTGAACTTGAACATTTCTCTCTGTGATCACAATCTTTTATCCTTCTACCTCATCCCTGCTTTGGTGTAGTTTTCCTCCCTTCTAATTCTTGACCCTCTCATTGCCCAGTTGTACTGTATACTCTCCTCCATCCTTGATTCCCTTGTCCCCACCACCATTTCCTTCCTGCCAATAATCAACTCCAAATCACCTCACCATTTGACCTCTTCAGTTGTACACTCAACCTACTGAATGCCTTTTGGCATTTAAAACTTTCACAATTTGGTCCCTTCCTACTTTTTCATTCTTCTTACACGTCATTACCCTCCTCCATGCATTGTATGTTGAACGGCTATGCTAACCTACTTGCTGTTCCTTGTACAAGACATTCCTTCTCTTATCCCTAAGCCTTCTGTCACCCCACCTATGTGGTAGTGCTTTCTCTCCTGAAATGACTGTATTTTTAAAATATATTTTGTATTTACACGCCTGTATGCATATTGTTCCTTCTAGTAGAATGTAAGCTCCTGGAGGGCAGGGAGTGTTTAATTTTGGTGTTTATATTCACAGCACCCACCCTGTAGTTGGCACATAGTAAGAACTAAATGAATGCTTTTTAAATTGAATATTCATCAGCTGGATCCAAGCATTTGTTTTGCTGACTCTTTAAAACATTTCTATCATAAGCATATCCTTTGAGATCACCTTTTTTTTTTTAAATAAAAAAGTTTATGTACAAAGAATTTGACTTCCTCAGGTGATAGTGGTTTGTCACTTGAGTGTTCATATTAAGCTTGGGGCTTTCTTGCATAGCATACACATGGTTACTTCTGTCTCAGAGCAGATATTCTAAAGTGGTATGAGACATTCCATGCATCATACGTTCACATGCAACATTTTTCATTTTTTGGAAGTTATGTAGGTACAAAGGACCTATTTTATTTTCTCTGCAGTAATTCATCCCATTCCACAAGAAGGAAAGCAGCTATCCTACTCTATTCTTACTGTCCTTCATGATTCAAGGGACATATACACAATGATCATTATTTCTGTGTGGACATATCTGAAAAGATTGATGCGTAACCAACAGTTCTTTCCAACCCATGTTCAACAAGTATAAATGATTGACGTTGGAATTTGTGTTAGAACCTTCTCAGTGTACTTTCGTACACACTCTCTTTCTTTCTCTCTCTCACACACACACATACACACACACCCATGCACACATACCCCTACTTTCTTAATATTCAGATATTTTTGCCGTCATTTGGTAGCAAAAACCAGTCAATCAGTAAGCATTTATAAGGTGCCTACTATATGCCTGGCACTGGTAATTTCTAGGGATACAAAGATAAGAATGATACAGTTCCTGTCCTCAATGAGTTTGGATTCTAGTATATATAAATAAGTTTATGCAAAGTAAATGTATGTGGTAGAGCACTAGTGGCTGAGGGCATCAGAAAGGCCTTACCATGACTATGGTATGGAATTCTGAAGGAGACCAAAGGAGTCTAAGAGACTGACAAGGAGTTCATTCCAGGCACGGGGGCAGCAAGTGCAGAGGAGCAGCGACAGGAGCTTCAAGGAATAAATGAGCAGTAGCAAGGTCACTTTGTCTGGCCTGTGGAGTGTGGAACGGGGAATAATGTATGAGAAGCCTGGAAAAGTATGTTGGGACTAGGTTATGAAAGGCTTTAAAAACCAAACAGAGGAGCTTATATTTAGTACGAAGGGCACCAGTAGGAGAGTGACTTGATCAGTTTCACTTTTTCACTTTAAGAAATCAGTGTGGAAAATTATGGTGAATGGATTGGAGAGGGGAAAGACTTAAGTCAGAGAGAACAATTAGCAGGTAATTTCAGTAGTCTAGGTTGAGATGTTCAGCAGGCCTGAACCAAGGGGATGGATTCAAGAGATGTTGTGGAAGTAGAAACATCAAGATTTGGCAATTCATTGGAGATTGAGGTTGAGACAGGTTGAGCGAACACAAAAAATCAAGTATAATGCAAAGAGCACAGATAGAGTTTACTAGAATAATAAATAGTACTGTCAAGTGAAATTAGGAAGTTTTGACAAAGGGTATCTTTTTGGGAAAAGATACTGAGTTCAGGTTCGGATATGTTGAGTTTGAGGTGCCCATGGGACATTCAGTTGGAAATGTCCAGTAAGTGGTTGGTATTATGGGCCTGGGTTCAGGAGAGAGATTTGGACTGACTATATAGATCAGGGAGTCATCTGTTAGAGATGATAATTAGGTCACCAAGTGAGTATAGACTGAGAAGAGGGCTCAGGTCAGAGTCTTGGGTGTCACCCACGGTCAGGAGATGTGAAATGGATGATGAGCCAGCAAAAATGACTTAGAAGAAGTAGTCAGACAGGTAGGAGGAAAACCTGCTGAAATGGTACCCGCTGTCACTGAAATGATTGTATTTTGAAAACGTTCTCGTGTTTGTTTGTTTGTTTGTTTTTTTGACAGAAAAGGGACTTTGTACATGGGCAACTATAGAAGCTGTTGGCATAGGTAGTTCCTGGATGGCTTAGCAGTGGCCACCCTTTGCACTTTCTGTCCTATTACTTGGTGTTTTCAGTCACTGAGATCCAGGGTGCCTGTATCAGTGGGCCAGTGCGAGGAGCAGAATGGAACCATCGCCGCTATGAACCACGTAGATCCTTTCCAGCGGCCAGGTGGCCATTAGAACACAACTCTCCAGGTGACAACATCTTGGCGTGGTCCTGAGCACAATATCTGTAGATGTTTCCCATTTTCCAGGTCAGGGTGACATCTGGTTGGCTTATTGTATGATGGCGATGTTTTTCGTTCGAGTTTAGTCCTTCCTGTATGCCATTTCTTTGGCAACAAGAGTGACAGTCCAAGTCTCAATCTTCTTCACATCCCTGGGGCATGTCCTCTACGTGGAAGGAGCCCACTATCAGCAAAAGGATTGTATTTTGAAAACCAGGACTTGTTGTTTTGATAGGCATTTTGCTAAAATAACCAGCTCTGTATTTCTTTATGTCAGTTTGAAATTAAAAGCACGTCCCTTTCCCCCTAAGGCTTTATTTAGCTCCTTCAAATGCATTAATTTTTAATGCATAAAAATTTATGGCAGTTTGTTTTGGTAACTTTTTTGTGCTAAGTTAAGCAGCATTGTTTATAAATATTGTAACGCAGAGACAATTTTATGGAGGAAGCTCTTATGAAGAAATCACAATTAGTATTAGAACTAAGCAGATTTCTTCAGCTCTTGACATGCCACAATATTCTATAGCATTCTTTTCATACTTGAATATTGTATAGCAGTTTACTAGGACTGAACTGGACTCCTGTGGTTTTCTTAGAATTCAAAAATCTTCATTTTATCATTAATTTCACACGAAAGCTTTTGCCAGTGGGAGGTACTTTGAGGTTGTATTGCCTCTCATGTTGTGTATAGCCATGGCCTGATTGGACCAAAATGCAAAATTCCCTGGCTTCAGTGATTGCAGCTCAGTTCTCCAGACAAGCTGGTTAGCAGGGATTTTGTAAGCCCCCTCTCCCACTCAAATGAAATAAAAGAATACAGTGGAAAGAGGAGTTAGGAAGGCTGAGTTCATTTGCCTCATTTTAGCCTGTTTCCTCACCTATAAGTTTAGGATTTTAATATTTGTACTACTTAAGCCCCAGAGTTGTTTTGACAATCTAATGAGATCATTTTTGCAAATGTCTTGAAAACTTTTAAGTGCTCTATGAGGTTTCCAGCTATCAATAATGATGATGATAATGGTGGTAATGATGATAATGACACCAAAAAAGGAATGGCTAAATAGAGAGGTTTTAGTACAAATTTCCTACGCCTCTTTGGATTTACATAATTCAGCCTTTTAATTTAATTAAAATTGAATTCCTGCCTTTAATATTTTCTCATGTGCATATGGGCTCTGTTGGCATCAACGGGTTCACCAATGTTGGTGGAGGGTGAAGGGGGCCTCTGTTGCATCAGCCTTCTCTATGTCTTGTCTTCTCTCCTTCTCAGTGACCTAGAGAAAGGGATATCTCCTAGGTGATGTCTTGAGCAAAAATTCTTGTCTCTTGTGGGTGAACAGGCAAGTGGGATTTTGCATGTTTGTTCTAATTCCCATTGTAACATTCCAAAATGTGCAATTGCAAACCTTGTGGTAACATTAAGCCTTTGTCTTAAAGATTCTAAACCACAGGGTGAAAAAGTCCCTAACCATCAGAGCATATTGGTATCCACTAGAAAGATTGAACTTATGATGATTAAAGACATGTCTGGAAATCTGTTGTCTCAATTGTCATATATTATCCCTCCCATTCTTTCTTTCCCACAACTTGGTTATCATAGTTACTCCTGTGTCCTCAACTCCATTGGAGCTCCATAGGAAATCTAGTGGATTTCCATACTCCTCTATTTGACCAACCTCCTGACATCTCTGTGGCTCACTTCTGTTGGTTTTCCACTGTGCCAGATATTGGGGTGCCTGCCTATGTAGAGCTCTGGTGGTTGTAGACAGACATTAAACTCAGCAGTCAGTAGTTGACGGTCAAGGCTGGCTCCTTTGTAGAAAAGCCTGACTTGTGGTCAGAAAGTCTTTGGGTATTATCACGATTCCAGGCCTAAATAGTCTAAGGTCAACTGTAGCATTTACACCACGCAAAATAGCGTTCTTCTCTTCCAAAGGATGTCAACTGGTCTCTCTTTGGGAGATTTATACTGCTGTGATTAAGAGAAAAACAGTTAGCTCGTTCTTCCATGGAACAGATTAGAGAGTATAAAATAATGTAAAAAGAAATACCAGGTAAGCTCATTTGCCTTGCAAAGTACCAACCAGTAATGTATTTTTGTTTGTTTTTTTCCCCCAATTCCACTTGCAGGATGTGTGCGGTATTTGGAGGAACCTATTGTCTAAGCCATGCAGTACAGTGCCTTGTAGTGGACAAAGAATCTGGAAAGTAAGGATAATATAAGTAACCTTCTTATATTTACACACTGAACACAGGTGAAAAATGCTCAAGTCGATTAAAAAAATGATTCTTCAAAGATCCTCCTTGGTATTAATAACATATCAACCTTGATTAAAAGTAATTTGTGTATAGGTCCTCCAGAACAAGGAAAGTGGGTTCAGAATATAGAAACTAAATTAATTTCCCTGCAATATTACTACAGCTCCTGATCACCCAAGCTTGGAAGACAAATCATTTCAGCTGCCGGGGGGCTGGTGATGAGTGATGTTAGTTTTCCTTGTGGCCTTACCTACTCTAATTGATTTTCATCAGATGACAACAAAGCCCTCTGTTATTGCATTTTTAAAAATGGAGCTCACCTAAAGACTCATCAGATTAATCTCTGCTGATAATGCATGTCACTCCAAGAGAAAAGACTTTAATGAGTTTTTAGGTAGATTGTTGTCATAAACTATGCTGCCCTCTTATCTGAGGATAAATTCTTTTACAACAGTATCAGGCCTGCAGGCAAGTTTAGAGTTGAAATGAGAGAAATATGCCTACTGTTTTTTAAAACTCTGAACATAATTTGCACTTCTGTATATTATCAGTATTTCTGTTACATATACTTTTACAACTAAGTTATGAATCCTTGAAAATAAGATTATGACATTATCTGAGACTAAATGAAGTGTTAATCTAGGTTTGTTTTTTCCAAAAGAGTTTGGTCGATACCTTCTTTTTAATGCTACAACCCTTTCCAAATATGCCCTACTTTCCTTTGTGACCCATAACAGGTAACCAAAACTGACCAAAAAGCAATGGTGATCTAACTATATAGATGCAGTATTTTGTTCCTATTTTCCTATGTAACACCTCTGTTAGAGGAGAGAAACAGATTTCATGATGTGTTCTTTTTGAGCAAGATTGGTCATTGTGATTATTCTGAGTTTGGATGGCCTGGAGTAGTTTAGTTTGCCTTAGCACAGTCATTGCATCGTTCTCTTGCTTCTGCTTGCTTTGCTTCACCAGCTCCTATGAACCCTTGCTGTGCCGCTTTGAGGTTTTCATACTCATTAGTTCCCAGGGCTACTTGGTGGTTTTAAACTAAAGATCTAAGTTCCAAGATATATGTGTGTATATATGTGTAAATATATATGTACATATATATATATATATATATATACACACACACATATGTATGTATGTAAATATAATATACAATATATATAATATATATGAAAGGAACTGATTCCAATATATGACTAAGAGCCAGCAGATAAATGGTAAAACGATATGAAGAGGCAGTTTTCAAGGGAATAAATCCATCATATGAAAAAAGTGTTCCAAATCACTAACAAGTAGAAAAATACAAATTCTGCCTCATAATTATGCAACTGATCAAGATGACAAAATATTAAATGACAGATGTTGGAGGGACTGTTGGAAACCAAGTATGCTTGTAATTATACTGTTGGTGAAGCTGTGAATTCGTCCTGCCATTCTGGAAAGCAATTTAGAACCAGGCCCAGAAAGTTACCAAACTATACTACATACCCTTTGACTCAGTTATACTACTACTGGGCTTAGACCGCAAAGAAAGCAGAAAAGGTTCTGTACATACAAAATTATTTATAGCAGTTCTTTTCATGGTAGACACAAATTGGAAAGTAATGAAGTTTCTTCTTTTGGGGGAATATTCTGGTATAAGAATATCATGGAATATTATTGTGCCATAAGAAATTATGAAATGGACAGTTTCAGAGGGAACTGGTGCAATCTTTGTGAACTGATGCAGAGCCATGTAATCAGAACTAGGAGAACAATTTATACAATGACTACATTATAGAGAAAAATAACTTTGAAAGCCTTTAGAACTCTACTCAAGGCCATGTTAGACACTGAGTCCAGAAGAGTAAAGATAGAACAAACTGCTCGCCTCCTGCCAGTGAGGTGATGAACCGAAAATGCAGAAAGTAACATATGCTTTCCAACATGACTAACGTGGGGATTTGTTTTGCCAGACTCTGTCGTTGTGTATTGAGGGACTTAGTTTTCTGGGTTTGTTTGCTTTAAAATTTGCTCAGTTGGGATGGTGGTAGTGGTAGGGACTGATTAATTTTTAAAATACTTGTTAAAAGATTTTCATTACTATCTCGGTGGCTGTTAGGAGTGACTTCGCAGTTAACATGCTATTGCCCTGTTAAGCAGCAAGTGACACATAACTCAGATGATTGTTTTAGGGGGATTGTAAAGAAAAGTTATCGGATTGTACAGATTAACTATCTTGTTGAAGGTTCTGTGTTATAACTTTTTAAGGTGTTTTGTACCTTTTCCAATAATTTTGTATACTTTAATAACTTTAAAAGATTTTTATTAATTTCCAGTAAACTAGTTTATAGTCCAGGGACCAGTATTTTTGAGACTTAGGAAGGAAAAAACATGACCCTATTCAGAAAACTCTTACACTTGGACTTTCTTTATAAAAAATATTTTATGATGTAAGATAAAATTGACATATTGGTTTAAAGATTTATAAGGTACATTTTGTGCCCTAAAAGGTACAAAAGAAAGGTGCTTCCTCAATTTAAAATAATAATACACATTGAAATATCTATGCCTAAGGGCCATACTTATTCCTAACATGACTCATGAGCAGCTCCAAGGGGGCCTAGGAAGAAATAGTTGTCTCTGTGACATGGGGAACCATTTTTTCCTGGTACCTACAATTCCCATTGCTGAGAGACCAGAGAATCAATCACTTACTTGGCATTTGTTTGCCTGTACCCTTTTCTGGGCTCAGTTCCAAACTTGCATGTAACTCTTAGGCACATGAACAATTTGTGCGACCAATTTTATTTTTTTAATTTAGTAAGTTTTGTTTTATTTTTTAATTTAATAAGTTTTATTGATGTATTTTCTTTTTACGTAAGTTATTCCTGAATATTCCCCATCCTTGGCAAACCCTCTCATTATAGCAAAGAAAAAGCAGTTATCCAAAAAGAATCAATAACATGACTGCATCTAACAATGTATGGAACGTTTTGCCCTCATAGTCCCCCACCCCTCTGCCAAGAGGAGTGGTGGTATGTTTGTATGACTGGCTACTTTAGCCAACCACTTTGGCTTCTTTTGGTGTTCTTTTTATTATTTCATTGTAGCCACTGTATATTGTTAGCCTGATTCTGTTTATTTCACTATGCATCAGTTCATGGAAATCTTCCCAGGTTTCCCCAGATTCCTCGTGCTCATTATTCCTTATTGCACGAGGGTGTTTCATCACATTCATATCCAACCCTTTGTTCAGCCATCCCCCAAATAGTGACCACCCATTTTGTTTCCCATTATTTGTTACCACAGAGAGTGCTGCTGTGACTGCTTTGGTATACGTGGGGTTTTTCTTTCTGTCTTTGAACTCCTTGGGCCATATGTCCAGCAGTGTGGGATCTGCTGGGTCAAAATATACAAAAAGTTTAACCATTTTTCTTCCATAATTCCAAATAGTTTTCTAGAACAGTTGGATCACTTCACAGCTCCATCAATAATGTGTCTGCCTGTTTTTCCACAGTGCTCCCCCCCCCTCCCCGCCACTGATTTTTTGGTTTTGGACATCTTGGCCAATTTACTGTGTATAAGATAAAACCTAATTTGCATTTCTCCTATTAGTGATTTCGAGCTTGTTTTCATATGGCTGTTAGTAACTTATGCTTCTTTAAAAACTGTTCATACTCTTTGACTGTTTATCTATTGGGGAATGGTTTCTGGTCATTTGTCTTTATGTTGCCTGAATCAAGATTTTTCTTAATGAAATTTGGTGCAAAAATTTTTCTCTTGATCACTAGTTTATTTCCTTATATGTATATTGATTTTGTTTATGTGCTCCATATTTTTAGAAGCCTGCCTTCAAGTCAGTCTTCATTTTGGCCTTTGCTCAGTTACACTGTCAGAGGAACTCCTCTCTGCCAATTATGGAGACAACAGACAGCTGAGAGTGAGAGTGTTCATAAAGGCCTATAGAACCTGTAGGACCTACTAAAGCTGTGGATTTAGAATCCAGTAATGTATCCCAGGGTAGACTAGATACTATAGACCTTGGTTATTCATTACATGGCATTACAAAAATGAACCTGGCAGCTTTCTAAGAGTCTCAGGTATTAACTTTAATGATAAATGAAATTGTTACTATTCATTATGGGGCATTTGCATATTTATTCATTTATTTATATTTTACATATTCAAAACAACAGTAGTTCCCCATTACTTCTAGAATGAAATAAAACAGCTCCCCTGTCGTTTAAAATCCTTCACAATCTGGATCCAACCTTCCTTTGTGCCATATAACATCTTACTCCCCTACACGTACTCTATAATCCAGCCAAACTAGCTCACTTGTTGCTCCTCACAACGTTCCATTACCCACCTTCATGGCTTTACAAAGTCTGCCCCCTATCCTTGGGATACATTCCTTCCTCACCTTCACCTCCTAGAATCCCTAACTTCTTCCAAATCTCACCTGGATGAGCACCTCCTCCAAGACCCCTCCAGGTACCAGTGGACTTAGCTTCGAATTGCCTCATACATACTTTGTATTTACCTCTCCTGCCTCCCCCTGTCTAGGATGTCAGCTCCTTACTGGTACTTAAGAGCAGGGACTGTTGAGTTTTTGGTTGTCTTTGTACCCTGAGTGCCTACCACAGTACTTAGTATATGGTAGGTATTTAATGTCATAAATGCTTGTTGATAGGTCACATTGCCTGGCAGAGTGCCTAAATGCAAAAATAATATAAGCCAACTAAATGCTTAGAAAGTTCTTTATTTTCCCCCCAATATTGAGAAATCTGACTGGCTTAAAGTCTTGAGCACATGTCCCAGGTAGACTACTTTGCAGGTACTTTACACTGAAGTTTGCAAGTGTTTATCAGTCATTTTAAGCATCTGAAGCAAAATAATATTTTTTCATTCTATTCCATTGACTGCCTCTTTCTCCCTGCTCTCCTTAGTAGGAAATC